TCTATATTTTTGCACAAATATGATAAGTAATATTGTATTTTTGTGTATACAAAGTACATATACACATTAACAAACATGAATGGTATAATTATCACATTTAATCATACGTAGTATACGATAACTAACCAGTTAACTTCATTATGTTATAATTATAAATAATGTTAAAATTTAGGTATATATACAAACATATATAGGTTTATCTTAATTTACAACTTCATTTCTTTTATACATGACTAAAGTTAAAGTACGTATAACGCTTAGAAAATTAAAATTAAGGAAAATCGCACTTCTAGTCCCTGAAATGGTCACCATATTGAAATGCCAAACCCGTGTTCCCCAATTTGTAAATGTCACCCCTCAATTATCCAAATTGTTGTAAATGTGTTCCTTTGAGAGGTGACATGTACAATGTGGGCAAGGTTTACAACAATTTGGACAATTAAGGGGTGTCATTTACAATCTCATAAATACAAGTCTGACATTTCAATATGGTGACTAAAAATGTGATTTTCCATTAAAATTAAAAGGTAAAGTAATGTTGGGCGAATCTAGACGGCCTAGGCGGTCCACTAGGCGCTCTAGACGGGCAACTAGGCGCCATAGGCGGCCGACTAATTCACCTAGATGGCTAACCAATTAGTCGGAGTGCCTAGGCGAAAATCGGGGCGCTCGGCCACCGCCTAGCGCCTAGGTGGGGACTAATCGGACGCCTAGAACGATTTTTAGAACAGAGATCATAAGAGGTCATGGTGTACTAGGTAAAGTACCCGACAATAGGGTTTAGGGCTTCAATAAACCTTAGCTATATCCTATATTGAGTTCACGATTTACTTTAAAATCATTATGTGCATGAAACTTTACAAAGATGAAGAAAGACTTACATTTTTGTTGTTCTAATTTTCATGTGCTCATTTATGATTCGTTACATGACTTACATCTATGTGTTTTTTACCTTAGCATTAGTCGACAACTCGACATTATTATTGATATATGTACTGGTTTACTAAAATTTGAAGCAATTGTCATCTACGGAGTAGTAAATTTGTGTGACATCGTGGAGGAGCGCCCTCGTTTACCTGGGGGGTTGAGAGGCATGCACCCCAGTTGGGACAAAAAAACTAGTAGTACCCACTTATTGTACTTCTAATTAATGCCCCTCTTTTTTTTTTTGAAAAAGAAGTTCTCCAACGTTTTATCGACTCAAATTTCAAATATAAACAACCCATTTAATAGCATGTCTTAAATAGCAGGCCTTAAATACTTCTTATTTGATTTTCTCCCTACAAAATGCATGAAATTTGAAAGTCAAGTGTCCAAACACAAAATTCTTCGAGACAGCTTTGGTCCCCAAATTTACACTAAACTCGGGATTTTACTTTTTCACCCTCCGAAGGATATTTTCAAAGCCAAAAGTTCAGTGTTGTTAAGCTGAAAAGGGGCCACCAAACAGCCCCTTATATACATAGTACAATATATAATGAAATTTTGATGTTTTGAAATTACTCTTGGAAAAAATCTAACATGATTAACAACAGCAATTGGTTATCATATTATTTTTTCTTCTATCTAACGTGGATGACAAATATTATGAAGCATAATGTAACTTCAATGGTTCAAACATTCAAAGTAGAATGACACTTTTAAGGTAACTCAATATAAACCTATCTTGCATATGCCTTCGTGAGATGCATTTTAAATTCGGAGTTTTCTAGTTACATCGGTTATGCTTTTCTTATTGATATGAAGAACCATGTCTCTTAATCCCCTGATCTGTTAATGTGATAGAGAGATAATATTCTTGAGAATAACAATACTTTGTGTAAATCAAGTTGAGATTTGGATCTTTTTTATTTATTTATTTATTGTGAATCTAAGCTTGCTAACAAACATACCATTGGAATAGACCAAAACATGTAACTAGAAACTTTAAGAGACTTTTTAAGCAGTACAAAAGCTACAAGACAGAGACTTATGCCAGCCAAACATGCACTAAATACATAACAATAAACCTACAAACCTATCCCGGCTCAACAACAACAATATTAAAAGACAACTAATCATTTGGGCTTATACCCTAATACCCCTCTAGTACAATACTACAATCTTATTAACATTTATCGCGCTAAAGTGTTTAATGTCATACCTCTAGTATCATACATTTATTAAAATGTGATGTTCTACCTACATTTATAGAAATTTAAGCTACATTTACACTCCAAATACCAATTTTTGAGTCTCATTGCTACCATCATGGCACTTCCTGATCCTTCAACTTGTGCGAGGTTGCTTTTGCTTCTCAAAACTATAAGCAACGCTTCAGAGATTTCACCTTTCCCTTTATTTGTTATATTTAATTTTTTGCTCCATTCCATAATAGTAGGGGTGGACTCGGGCCGGGCCAACCGGCCCGGAACCGGACCGGCCCGCTACTGTGCGGGCCCGGACCGGCCCGGTCAACCGGTTGGTGCACCGGTTCGGGCCACCCGGCCCGGTGGGATGGCGGTCCGGGCTCGGGCCCTGATTTTAGTGAACCGGCCCGGCCGGTTCGGGCCCGGGCCGGGCCAGATTTTAATTTTTTTTTTTTTGTTTTTGAAATTTTTTTAAGTTTTGGGTTGGATTAGGTATTTTGGGCCATTTGAGGTGGTTTGGGGTTGAGGGGGAGGGGTAGGGGGTTAAAAAGGAGAACCCAAAAAAAAAAAAAAAATAGACCGGTTGGCCCGGCCCGGCCCGGCCCGGTTTGGCCCGGAACCGGAACCGGAACCGCCCACCGGCGGTTCGGGCCCGAGCCCTAGTTTTCTGGCCCGAGGCCCGGCCGGGCCCAGGCCCGAACCGGGCCCGAACCGGCCCGAGTCCACCAATACATAATAGTGTGTGCGTGTGTGCTTAAAGTTTTTAATGATTTCTCTAAAAGCTTCTTCAAATGAGTTGAACGTGTTTGAAGTACGTAGTACTCCCTCCGTCCCAATGTGATGATCCCATATTTCCTTTCTGGGCCGTCCCAAATTGATAGTTCCATTTCCCTTTTGGGAAAGAAATATGTGGTCCACATCATTTCACCTTTTTCTACTCAAATTTCAACTACAACTTTTACCTTTTCAACCACTTCCTTAATCTTTGAGTCCAAAAGAAATGGGATCATCAAATTGGGACGGAGGGAGTATAACTTAGTAAAATACATTATATATAGTCCAGAAAAAATCGACGGGATGATGATATTCCTCAATTTTTTTGGTAATCATTTCAAATAATAGGAATAAAGTTAGAGTAGCGAAATACAACAATAAACATGTGGAGAATATTATGCGAGTTCCACATTGCTTATATATATTAGTGAGCAGTGACGGACCCAGAAGTTTTGTGAAGCGGGGGCACTCTCGCATAGATGAAAATGAGTCGGGTCGGGTCTATCATTGGTCTTTTTTTATCAAATGCGTAGAGATTATTAATTTTAACTGGAAATAGTAATTCAATGCCGACATCAACCAATGAACATATATGAATTATAACTATTTATAAGTCTAATTTTGAACTCACTATGACAATTCTAAACAATAATATTTGACTTTTTGAAAGAAAGACATAATTTGAATTAGAAATGATTCATCCTTACACCGTTTTTGATTTTACATTAGAATTCTAATTTTTCATTCAATAATATAATGATCAAGATTTGATATCTGAACTAGGATCATGTCGAATGCTGCACATTGTGCCACATAATTCGTTTGCACTTGTCTAAAATATAATACTATCGTGTTAAAAATGAAGTATAAATCAAGTTTATGACTTCTTCCTTTAATACGACTTTATTTTATAATATGATTCTATTATCTATTTTTTTTTATCATATCATAGATAAAAAACTCAAAGGGCATGTCGGTTTGAAATTAATTTATCGCAAAATGACACTTCTTTCATGTATGGACTTTTATTCAAGATAAAAGTTCTTCAATCTATTAAGTTCATCCCACATATTAGAACTATTGTCATGCCTTTGACTTTTAACGTTGGACAAACATTATTCACCCTAACTAAAATAAATTACAATGCCACTTTTCAAAGAAAGTGTAGTAATCGTTTCAATAACATGTCTAACTATAAGGATTTTCTTCATCATAATTTTGTGATTGTTTATATCTATTAGTTTGTTGAAATAATAACAATATGATTGAAATAAAGATAGTGAACAAAAATATGACTTAGTAACTACCATAGTAATTTTAGTGACCATGACTGTGTTCAACTCTATCAATATAGTGACCAAAGTATCGTGACCATAAATATTTAGGTAATATTTATGAAAAAACCTCTAATTTTTTTGTCCGGGAAGCGGGGACACAATTTTTATCTTAAGTACTAATACTAAAGTTCGGGATCGAAAGCGGGGCACTTACCCCCAGGACCCCTCCTAGGTCCTTCACTGTTGGTGAGTTCATACAATATACTTGTACAAAACATGTAAAGAACACACACTTACCGGTTCTAAAAGGAAATGTGAAACCTAAGAATACAAGGAAATTAATAATATGGATAAATTTAGCAAGTATTTGTATATATGTATCAATAACGTGACTATTTTATCATATATGTTCAACCTGATTTAAGGATGTGCATTGTGATGGATTTGGTTAGCCATCTTTTCAATGAATTGAAAGCAAGTATGGAAGAAAAAGCAATTCAGCATTGGATTGAGCTTAAGAGGAAGAATGAGATTGTTGGTTCTTGATTTTTATTGTTAAACACTAGCTCAAGTACTTTAGGTTTTTCACTATTTACATGTTTTAGTATAGATTTTGAGCTTTATTTTGTATTGAATTAATATTAGTACAAACGTTGAGTTTGTTTTAGTTTATTTCCCTAATTTATGGTATTGTGCACTATTTGCTACTCGTATAGTCGTATTATAAGTTCTGTTTCAAACAGACTTGGTTCTATTCAATTATGTGAAAATTTATACTTCGGAAACATGAAATATATACTTGAGGTTTTTGAGCTCATCTATAGGGAGTTTTTTTATACATGAAATATAACTCGCACACTCATACACATCTTATGGAGACTGGGGACGTCACCCTCAAACTGTTCTTCTCCACCACAAATCTACCCAAACAAGAAACCATTTTACGAAGTACATGCTAAAATCCCTACCTTTCCCTCATCTTGAATCCCACTTTTCCCTAAACAAATAAAACCTCCCACTCAGGAAGCTTTTAAATCTCAGAAAGCTACACTGAAGATGAAATCTTTATCACACATTTACAATAACCGTACTTGTGATCAAGCATAAAGATGAGGCCTTTGAATGAAGGAATGTCTGAGAAAAAAAATTTAAAATCAGGAAACATTAGAGACAAATGGACAATCAAGCACATCAGATCAGCCACAATTTGTTTGGCTGATGCACCAAATACATCAATTCCTTCACAAGTCCCAAAATGCTTTTGGCCACACAAATCAGCGCGATAAGTAAGCCGCCCAGAAGCCCAGAAGTCCCACAATGCATTTACCAATGACAGGTGCGTTGAAGGCTGATGAGGCGGCGGCGGCGTTGGAGGGTGCGTCGGGTCTGTTCACCCCAGAAGCCCAGTAGTAAATCCGTCCATGCCAGAGAATGAGTGAGAGTGGGGTGTCTTCTTTTTTCAATTCATCATAGCTTATTGTCTCCCAATTTCCCAAACTCAAAGGGGGAGGGGCGTGCAGAGCATCGTGAACTGTTGCAATTTCAATATGGCCGTGGATTTTCACAACATCAAACATCTCACGCTGTAAATCTTGAATCCTCATCTGAATAATCAGAAATATATCTCAGAAATCACAAATGCAAGAAAAGTAATACTCGTATTACAGATAGTATTATTACATAACATCTGTAATAGTATCTCTATCAAATTCAGAAGTAGAGTTCAATCAAATTCTGCCGCCTGAGATGAAAAAATACTCATAGATTCGGAATATCTCAGAGTAGTAGAAATCTTATCTCTCAAATTCAGAATATCTCAAATCAAAATCAATATTTAATAAAATGTTTAATACTACGGAGTATATCAAATTCTTACAATAGGAAGCCTGGAAAACAAATGTTGAATCAGCAATGAACTTCTTCTGAATCCAATTCTCTTGTGGAGTGCCGCCTGAGATGAAAAAAATACTCACAGATTCAGAATATCTCAGAGTAGTAGAAATCTTATCTCTCAAATTCAGAATATCTCAAATCAAAATCAATATTTAATAAAATGTTTTATACTACGGAGTATATCAAATTCTTACAATAGGAATCTCTGTCACTTACAATTGAATCTGGTAGACCATGAAGTTTAAAAACATTATCCATGTAAACTTGAGCCACCTCAATTGCAGAAAATGGATGTGATAATGCCAAAAAATGTGCAGCTTTACTTAGTCTATCTACCACAACCAGGATTACTTCTTTACCATTAGATTTAGGCAAACCTTCAACAAAATCCATGGAGATAGCAGACCACACCCTTGTAGGTATAGGAAGTGGTTGCAAAAGGCCTGGGTAGCTAGACTGGTCATATTTACACCTTTGACACACATCACAAGCTCTAATATATCTTTGAACATCCTTGAACATGCCTGTCCAATAAAATAGGGATTTCAGTCTTTGAATGGTAGTATCCCTACCAGAATGTCCTCCTACTGAGGAATCATGAGCCCATTGTAGTAATTGTTTCTTAAGCTCCATTTCTGACCCTACAACCAGCTTCTTTTTCCTTCTAAGTTCACCATTTTTCCAACTGTAATGCATATGAGAAGACGAATCAGCTTTTAAATCTTCAACTATCTTTTGTAAAGCCATATCTTTTTCCTGAGAAAGCTTGATTTGCTGCAGCATATCAGATTGTATCTGATTCAAAATTATGTGGTAGAGCTGAGAATCAGACATTCCCTCTTTTCTTGAAAGTGCATCAGCCACTTTATTGTCTTGCCCTTTTTTATATTGTATTTCAAAATCATATCCCATTAATTTTGCCATCCAATCTTGTTGGCAAGGATTAGTAATCCTTTGTTCCAATAAGTATTTGAGACTTTTTTGATCAGTCTTGATGATAAAATGTTTGTTGAGAAGATATGGACTCCATTTCTGAATTGCAAACACCACTGCCATTAGTTCTCTCTCATAAGCTGACTTTGCTTGATTTTTAGGACCAAGAGCTTTGCTGATAAATGCAATAGGGTGTTCTTCCTGCATAAGCACTGCACCCATTCCATACCCAGAAGCATCTGTTTCAATGACAAATGTTTTGTTAAAATCTGGAAGAGCTAACACTGGTGCAGTACACAGTAGCTTCTTCAAATGTTCAAATGCTACTGTGGCTTTTTCATTCCAAGAATATTTGTCCTTTTTTAAAAGATCTGTTAAAGGTTTTGCAACCTGACCATATCCTTTAATAAACCTCCTGTAATAGCCAGAAAGACCTAGAAAACCTCTCAGTTGCTTTAGGTTTTTAGGAATAGGCCAATTCTTCACAGCTTCAACTTTATGTGGATCTGTACTTACCCCTTCAGCAGATATAAAATGACCTAGGTATTCAACCCTAGTCATTGCCAGAGCACATTTACTTTTCTTAAGGAATAGCTTATTCTCCTTGAGAATCTGAAAAACCTGTTCCAGATGCACAATATGGTCCTTCACTATTCTACTGTAGATGAGTATATCATCAAAGAATACAAGGACAAACTTCCTGAGAAATGGTTTAAAAATGTGGTTCATGAGGCCTTGAAAAGAAGATGGGGCATTAGATAGTCCAAAAGGCATAACAACAAACTCATAATGCCCTTCATGAGTTTTGAAAGCTGTTTTGTGGACATCTTCTTTGTTCATCCTTAGTTGATGATAACCACTCCTTAAGTCCAATTTTGAGAACACAGTAGCTCCTCCAAGTTCATCCAGTAAGTCATCCAATAATGGAATTGGAAATTTATCCTTTATTGTTTGTTTATTCAGTTCTCTGTAATCAGTACATAGGCGCCAAGATCCATCTTTTTTTCCCACTAAAACCACTGGAGATGCATATGGACTGCTACTGTTTTGTATGATTCCAAATTCCAGCATTTCCTTGACCAACTTCTCAATTATTCCTTTTTGCAGGGATGGATACCTATATGGTCTCTTACTAACAGGCTGAGATCCATTTTTAAGGGGTATCCTGTGATCAAATTCTCCCCTAAAAGGAGGTAATTCAGTTGGTTCTTCAAAAAGGATAGAATATTTTTCTATCAAGTCAGTAATGCCTTTATTTTGATCAATAATCTCTACTTGGGCTGATAATAGAGTAGAATAGTATGAGAAATGTACCCTTTCATGATCCATAAGATCTGTCAGTTGTATCATGGCTAATTGACTGCCCCCTTCTGCTATCAATTCCTGACATTTCTGGGATGATGTGAGCTTGAGTTTGTTGGTATTATCTGATCCCCTCAACATATGCTTCTTTCCATTTATCTTGAATTCCATGAGTAGCTTCTGAAAATCCCAAGTTATTGGACCCAATGTTGATAACCATTGAATACCTAAAACAATATCACAACAACCCAAAGGTAGCACCATGTAATCTGATGTAAACGTGGTGTCATGGATTTTCCATTGAAATCCTTTACACATTCTGTATACAATCATCTTATTACCATCAGCCACAGCTACACACATAGGCTTAACCTCTTCCATTTTACAACCCATTTTCTTAGCAGTAGTTTCATCAATGAAATTATGTGTACTGCCACTATCTATCAGGATGTGCAATGGCTTTTTATTGACATAACCTGTCACTCTCATTGTCTGAAAATGAGGTAAACCCACCATAGCATTCATAGAAATGCATACTCCTGGTTCTTCTGGCATATCTTCTTCCTCTATCCCATATTCTTCTTCTCCCTCAATATAAAACAACTGAGGTTTCTTGTGTTTTTCTGCATAATGACCAGGAGTGTAAGGATCACCACAATACATACACAATCCTTTGGACTTTCTTTCAGTCATTTCAGATTGCGTGGGTAGCTTCTGTGGTTGCTCTTGGTGGTTATTTGTGACTGTTTTAGATGTAAAAGGCCTAGAACTTGGTGTGGGCAACAGGGATGCAGGTTTGAGGTTAGCAAAAGGTGCATGTGCAGGTTTTGGTTTATACTCCTTAGAGCTTTCATATAGTTTGGCTAATCTTGCGGCATATTGGACAGAAGTGGGATTAAACATTCTAACATGCATCTTGGTCTCATGTTTCAATCCATTAACAAAGCAACTCAGTTTATGTTCATCAGACAACTTTAATCTAGTCAATATAGCCTCAAACTGTTCCAAGTAATCAATTACAGAACCTGCTTGCCTTAATGACATCATTTCAGCCATAGGATCATCAAAAGTTTGATCAAACCTTTCCAGCACCAGTTTCTCATAATCCTCCCATAGCATTATATCAGTATTTTCTTTATCCTTCATTAATGCATAATGCCATTGCAATGCCTTACCATCTAAATGCATGGATGCTATAAAAACTTTAGCATATGCTGGAGTTTTATCAATGGTGAAAAACTGTTCACACTTGTATAACCACTCTTTTACATTTTCACCATGAAATTTAGGAAAATCAATCTTAGTACACCTGGTAGCAAAAGATTCAGGCCTGATCACGTTACCAGCTGTTGAAGATGGTTCTTGGTAGAGAATATGCTGGCGACGAGTATCTTGATTATTCTGCATCAAGTTCGTCAGATTTTGTATCATTTGCTCAAGATTCCCCATTCTTTCACTTAGATTCTTGAGTTGTTCATCATTTTCAATGAACTTTTTGTTCATTAGGTCATCTAGTTCTCTGACAGTAGGCGCCATCTGTCACTAATTTTGTTGAAGCGGAATTACTGCAATTGATAGTGAAATTGCTGATGTCTAACAATTGCGATCAGAATTTTGAATGATTACGAGAAATAGTCTCTGATACCAATGGTGCAGGTTGGATCCGTAGAGATTGACCCTGCAATACTAGCTTGTGGAACTGGTAATAAGATGGAGAAACCAGATCGAGCTAAGCTAATTTTAATGGAGGATTTAGTGAAATATGAGAGAGAATGATAGGAAGAAATGAAGCAGAATCATATTGAACTTCTCGTTGCCAGAATACAGCTTATTACATTCTTTTATATGAAAATTGGAACAGAATTACAACTAACAAATTCTAACAAACTGTTAGTTTGCTGATGTGGCTAACTAATTGGAGCTGCACTGCATCAGAAAACAAATGTTGAATCAGCAATGAACTTCTCTCGTGGATTGCCGCCTGAGATGAAAAATATACTCACAGATTCAGAATATCTCAGTAATGAACGTCTGAATCCACTTCTCTCGCTCGTGGGGTGCCGCCTGAGATGAAAAAAAAAACTCTCTCTCAAATTCAGAACATCTCTAATCGAAAGAAGAAATTAAAGAAAAGAAAAGTTTAATTCTCGTAGGTAGCATAGATACCAATCAGTTCGTGACTCAAACTCAGTAGAGGCGCATGAGATAAGAAAAAGACCGGTAGGTTAGGGTATATTTAGCGCAGAGTAGCAAGGCTGTATTGATTGAATCTCCTATTTATGAAAAGTTGTATTTAAAATGGTTGTTATTAATAATTAAATTAAAAATTATATGAAAAATAGCTAAAATGACTTGTAATTATCAAAGTTATAAAGTTCTATCTGGGGTGGCTGTATTGACTGAATCTGCTGATTTATGAAAAAGTTGTATTTAAAATGGTTGTTATTAATAATTAAATTAAAAATTATATGAAAAATAGCTAAAATGACTCGTAATTATCAAATTTATAAAGTTCTTCCTGGGGTGGCTGTATTGACTGAATCTGCTGATTTATGAAAAAGTTGTATTTAAAATGGTTGTTATTAATAATTAAATTAAAAATTATATGAAAAATAGCTAAAATGACTCGTAATTATCAAATTTATAAAGTTCTACCTGGGGTGGCTGGATTGACTGAATCTGCTGATTTATGAAAAAGATTTATTTAAAATGGTTGTTATTAATAATTAAATTAAAAATTATATGAAAAATAGCTAAAATGACTCGTAATTATCAAATTTATAAAGTTCTTCCTGGGGTGGCTGTATTGACTGAATGTCTGAATCTGCTGATTTATGAAAAAGTGGTATTTAAAATGGTTGTTATTAATAATTAAATTAAAAATTATATGAAAAATAGCTAAAATGACTCGTAATTATCAAATTTATAAAGTTCTACCTGGGGTGGCTGTATTGACTGAATCTGCTGATTTATGAAAAAGTTGTATTTAAAATGGTTGTTATTAATAATTAAATTAAAAATTATATGAAAAATAGCTAAAATGACTCGTAATTATCAAATTTATAAAGTTCTTCCTGGGGTGGCTGTATTGACTGAATCTGCTGATTTATGAAAAAGTTGTATTTAAAATGGTTGTTATTAATAATTAAATTAAAAATTATATGAAAAATAGCTAAAATGACTCGTAATTATCAAATTTATAAAGTTCTACCTGGGGTGGCTGTATTGACTGAATCTGCTGATTTATGAAAAAGTTGTATTTAAAATGGTTGTTATTAATAATTAAATTAAAAATTATATGAAAAATAGCTAAAATGATTCTCTACAGTAACTTCAGCCAATACAGCCAGAAAGTAACCACAACCTTACTTTTTCTGCTTATTACTCCGTACATAATTGAGCGCGCGAAATCAAAATTTACGTGTTTGATGAAAAAATTGACTGATAAGTCTTACTACCTCCGCCCCTCTAAGATTGAGACAGAATAAGGTGGCACGATTATTAAGAAAAGTAGGTTTGTGTGGTTGATATTAAATTGATAAAGTAAGAATGATTTAGAGTCACACAATCTTTACCAAATTTGGTATGGGACAATTTTAGTGGGACTTCCCGAAAAAGTAAAATGGGACAATCTTAGCGGGACGGACGAAGTATAATCCAAAAAGGGGTCACCAAACGGGCTCACAAACATATATCTGTAAAAAAAAGATAAAATGAAATTCGACCAAGTCCAACTTTTCCACACATGTTCACATCATCACCCGAACAATTTTTTGTCTAGCATTTCTGAGTTTTCCCCGGTCATTGTGAGTTTTGAGTAGCTCGAGTGAGACATTACGAGCCTCTTTGGTGACTGCATTGGCTGATTCGGCTGAAAAGCCTGAAAAGTCTAAAAAGATCGAAGTGAAAGTGTTTGGTAATATATTGGCTGGAATGACTGATTGTGTGTAAAATTACTATAAAGGGTATTAACTTATTTGTGTTAAATATATAAGTGTGAATTTACTAATAAACTACTTTTGCTTGATTAGCTAATTATAAGACTATTTAAATAATTTATTACTTTAAATAATTAATTACTTGTCTAGTCAATTCTTTCCTACTTGAAAACAGAAAATTTTGCCAGATACAAATAAGAGTGGAGTAGTTGCTTACCTATAGCAGAGAACATCTTGACGAACTCATATTAAAAAAAAATCAAACGACAGATCAATCAAGGAATTACATGGAATGCCGAAGAGCACTTTACCTTTAATTATAAAAAAAAAAATCAATCGACATATCAATCAGCAGAGATTTTCAGTCTGGAATGCTAACAATTGAAGATCGATGATGAAGATGAAGATGCATGCAGCGCACCTTGCGTTTAGTTTAGGTGAATATGGAGAAACACTCAAGAGTTCTTCGATCTGGAATGCCGAAGCTATGTAGCAGCCGAGCCGGAAGCCATCGATCTGGAACTCTGGAAGATAAGGCTATGGCACAGGTATTGGAGGCGCAGCTTTGGGAGGCGATGAAGCAACTATTACGCGTAAGATCAAGGATAAAAGAGTATTTGTGATTCTCAACAGTATAAAAATATTTTGCAGCTCAAAAAGTAGTCCTGGCGTTGCTTTTTTGGCTGATAAGATAATTCAGTCCAAGTAGCCAAAAAACCTTGTGTTTGGCTGTATTATTTGATTTTCAGGCTTATAAGCCTATTTTTGGGACTCCAAACACCCTCTATAATTAGACATATTGTTAGAATAGTGGTCCAAGCAATTATAATTGGTTAAAATTTAAAAAGGAACCGGGATTGATTGGATACAATGGATAGAGCAAATCTAGTTACAAATTGGTGCTGCAGAGTGCAGACAACTTATCTAGAATTGGATTGAGTAAATCTGGTTTCGGTCTGAAATCTGTAATCTGAGCAAACGCGTTTTAGGAGAGCCGTTTAAAAGTTGGGAGTGGTTAATATAGTATTTCTAAATCTCCATTTTTGCTTTTGGTGTACCTTTTTCATGGAGAAGAAGACTTCTAAGAAATATAGAAAGCACATGGGAAGGGTTGGTAGTGTACCCAATAACGTCCTAACCCTTTGCCTAAATTGTCTTGGTGTTTAGATGGTGTTCAGATGTTTTCTTTTGGATTGTTTCAGTCCCTGACCAGACCAGATCAGATTAGACCAGACCAAAACAGACTTCCGTAGTTATAAAATAGTCAAATCAGTTTCATAGACCCACTGAAATTGTTCATAAAAATAATAACCAAATTCAGCTTCATAGACCCTGGGTCAATATGCTAGCATATCCTGGAGAACGAATTGTTGAAACAACTCGAACTCAGCGTGAAGTCGTAGACTCAAAAATGTGGGAAACAAGACTACTCAAACCGGAGCTTTAGTAATCTTGAGACCAAAACTGTAAAACATGGTTTCCAAAAACTAGAATTTCTAATCTTTTAATAAAAATGTTCTCTTAAACTTACATATCCCATATATTTATCCGTTACCTTGTAGGTGCTAATAAGTAAATGCTCCGTATTTTATAATATTATTAAAATAATCATGTTAATTATATATATTGTTTGAGCTATGATCTTACGTTCGTAAATACAATATACACATCATTCATAACTTTAATTATAACACAATTTTCGAGTATTTATTCATGAAAATGGATATAATGATTAAGGAATACTCTTCTCTTTAACTGAAAATTAAACGGCACTTTAATAATATTCATATTAGAGAACAAACATCGTTTAATTTAATCAGAAAAATAATGACACTTTATGTGTTGCTTTTGGCACAATTTTTAATAAAATGGTTGAAAAGGTAAAAGTTGTGATTGAGATTTGAGTACAGTAAAGTGAAATGTTGTGAACAACATATTTCTTTCAAAATAGGGAAATATAACACTTATTTTGGGACAACCCAAAAAGGAAAGTAAGACAGGTAAAATAAGACGGAGAGTAATTTTTTGGCCGACTACTTGTCCATTTTGCTCTTCCGATTCCTTAGCTTGAAGTCTTCTTCTCTACCCAATTTTGATTAATTTTCTTTTTGTGCAGTTTTCCTCTATCAGCTTCTTCATTTCTTTTACGTTTTTCTTTTTAATTTGGGATGATCGTGCGAACTACGTACCTGAAGGCTAAAGTCTCTTGAGCTTCTTATACACATTATGTTATACGTGGCTGCTGCTAAGGTTTCAAGGTGGCATAGTTTGAGTACACTTGTCCTACTTGGCTACTTCATCATCCATGTTAATGCATGTGTATGACTATGCTAAGGGAGTGTTTGCAACTGCTTCTGCTTAAAAAAAAGCACTTTTGGAGAAGTAATGAAAAAGTGATTGGTAGTAAAAGTTGATAGTGTTTGAGAAAAAAGTGATTTTGAAAAGTAAAAGTTGGTAGTGTTTGGTAAAATAAGTGCTTTTTGTGTAATAGAAAAGGGAAAAGCACTTTTCACACGCAAGCCGAGAAAAAGTAAAAATTGGTAGTGTTTGGTAAATAAGTGCTTTTTAAAGCCAAAAGCTGAGAAGTGCTTTTTTTTAAGCAGTTGCAAACACTCCCTAACTCTCTCTCTCAAATGATTTGGATGGCATTTCTCAGCCACTTGTCTCTAATTATTGAAGCATCCGAAAACTAAATGGAAATAATTTAGTGCAGTCATTTCCTCTCCAATGAGAAAATTTTATCTTTTAAATTTACCTCATGATGAGTCAAAAACCGTTTTCAGAAATACGTACACCATATCATCACTAGCGCGCTATTATCATGTTATTCTAAATTTTAAAATAATTTTGAGTACTTTTATCTTTCCAGCAATATAACTTTGTGCCGGATAAGCTAGACTGGTTTGGGGTGTTACAAATATTGTCATCCATTTATGTAAAAGTTCAGGGTAGAGAAGAGTAGTGAATGTAGTAGAAGTGGTGTTATTAATTGTGAGTGTGTAACTGGTGGAGGAGTATTTATGGTTTCAGGGAAGGAGTAAAAAACGAGTTCAAAACCCCTCCAAAAAATTTGGCCTCACTGTTACTTTTGGAAGCATTTTAGCACGCGTGAAATATGTTGGGTGTTTGACCGAAAAGAGTAGATTTCTTACCTTACATTCCAAAAAGTGCAATTTTTTGGGGGTTTTCTGAGACAGTAAAAAATGGAGTTGGCATGTCCGAAACAATGTTGTAACTCATTTTCGGAGTTCCCAACCGCTAAAATGGAACTTGCCATTTTCGGAGTTGGCAACTCCGAATTAGTAAAGTACTTT